CGGATGTAGGTATCCGCACGCACGGGGGCCACTTCGCTATTAGATATATAGATAGTAATATTCCCTTTGTTATGAAAACATACAAGATATTTCAAATTACAAAGAAACGACGACTGAGGGGTGACATGATTGAGGTTTATAAGATTATGCATGGGAAAGAGCAGGTAGAGAAAGAGGTACTTTTCTCCCTTTCTCACAATACAAGAACTCGTGGGCACTCCATGAAATTGCTGAGCGGTCGGGTTAGAACGGATAAAAGGAAGTACTTCTTCACCCAAAGAGTGACTAACACATGGAATTCACTGCCACAGGAAGTGGTGGCAGCTACAAGCATGGACGGCTTCAAAAGGGAATTAGATAAGCATATGGAGCAGAGGTCCATCAGTGGTTATTAGCCACAAGGTATAGATAGGGACTCTGGGGCAAGTGATGCTCTGTCTTCTTGGTGCTTGGGGGGGTCAACAGTGGGAGGGCTTCTAATGTCCTGGCCCCACTGGTGGACCTCCTGATGGCACTGGTATTTCTGGCCACTGTGTGATACAGAGTGTTGGACTGGATGGGCCTTTGGCCTGATCCAACATTGGTATCTCTTATGTTCTTATGTTCTCATGGTAGCATTCTTTATAAGTCTTAATGACTGTTTGATTTGTGGGTCAGACTATCACAACTGTTGGCTTTATACTTGTTTACTAAACCGAGTGGCTGCCACTCCTGTCGAAAACACAACAGGTCATTTCCAAAGTTGTTGAATTCGTCATTGTACAATCGCAGGACACAGCACAAGCAAGTATATTTGTAATCTCCTCGATAAGCATACCCTGACCTGCTCAGGGTATCTCAGATGCTAAGCAGGGTTGACCCTGGCTAGTATTTGGATGGGAGACCTCCAAGGAATACCAGGGTCGTGACGCACAGGCAAGCAATGGCGAACCACCTCTGAATGTCTCTTGCCTTGAAAACCCCACCAGGGGTCACTAAAAGTCGGCTGTGAATGGAGGGCAAAAATCAACAGATAGGAGCTGTTTCATTTCCCATTCCTGACAGACTTTGCCTTTTTGAGAGCCAGTTTGGTGTAGTGGTTAAGTGCGCAGACTCTAATCTGGGAGAACCGGGTTTGATTCCCCACTCCTCCACTTGCACCTGCTGATGTGACCTTGGGTCAGTCACAAGCTCTGGCACAGCTGTCCTTGAAAAAGAGCAGTTTGTGTCAGAGCTCTCTCAGCCCCACCCACCTCACAGGATGCCTGTTGTGGGGAGAGGAAGGGAAGAGTTTGTAAGCCGCTCTGAGACTCCAAGTGAAGGGCGGGGTATAAATCCAATCTCTTCTTCTTCTTCTTCTTTTGCTAATTTTCTCAGCAGCTGGCTTAGAGGTGATTTCAAACCAGTTCTTTCTAGTATACTAGAAAGCCAGCATGGTGTAGTGGTTAAGAGCGGCAAACTCTAATCTGAAGAACCAGGTTTGATTCCCCACTCCTCTATCCCAAGCCTGTTGGGTGACTTTGGGCCAGTCACAGCTCTCTCAGAACTCTCTCAGCCCCACCTGCCTCAAAAGCTGCCTGTTGTGGGGAGAGGGAGGGAAGGCGATTGTAAGCCGCTTTGAGATACATGAAGCCTGCTGGGTAACTTTGGGCCAGTCACAGTTCTCTCAGAACTCTCTCAGCCCCACCTGCCTCACAAGGTGCCTGTTGTGGGGAGAGGAAGGGAAGGGGATTATGGTGGAGTGGTTAAGAGCAGCAGACTCTCATCTGGAGAACTGGGTTTGATTCCCCACTCCTCCTCCACATGAAGCCTGCTGGGTGACCTCGGGCCAGTCACAGTTCTCTCTGAACTCTCTGAGCCCCACCTACCTCACACAGGGTGTCTGTTGTGGGGAGAGGAAGGGAAGGCGATCATAAGCCACTCTGAGGCTCCTTTAGGGTAAAGTGGGGTATAAAAACCCAACTCTTCTTCTTTTCCTCTCCATGTTGTTTCTTCAACATAGCACATTCCTTCTTTTGCCTTTGTGACCTCCTCATCCAGCCATAATGGAGACTCCAGCAGACTTAACATGTCTGAAGTCAGGCCAAGGCAGTTTTTTCTTCCACACCGTCTCTGTGCTTGAGTTAACCCTGTCTTTCCTCTGCAGGCGGAAGCCTTAAACGGGTCTCAGGATACTTTCTTAGAAAACAGAGGGTGATTTCCCACAAGCTCTGCTCCGCGCTCACTCTTCTCTTTGGGCCGATGGTACATGTCAATTTCACACAAGCTGCTGCACGACCGCATTTTGCCCCGCAGCTTCGTGCGATTTCCCCCGCGTCTACTCAATCCTGTTACTTGAGGATTGAGTAGACGCGGGGAAAATCACAAGAAGCTGCGGGGCAAAATGCGGCCGCGCAGCAGCTTGTGTGAAATTGACACGTACCATGGGGCAAAAAGGGAGGAGTGAGCGCGGAGCAGCGCTGGTGGGAAATCACCCAGATTTTTCTGTTTTGGGGTCCCGTAGCTTCTACCGGGCTGGTCTTTAGGGACCTCCCCAGTCTGTCATCCCTGAGCGTTACGGTACTATAGATGAATAGCTGGGCATGTTGGGGAAAGTCCTGAACTCAACTGAGAGAGATTGAGACTCTTTTCTAAATGATTTGGTGTAGTGGTTTGGTGTAGTCAGTTTGGTGTAGTGGCTAAGAGGGTGGGGTTTGGGGAGGGGAGGGGCCTCAGCATGGCACAATGCCACAGAGTCCACCCTTCAAAGCAGCCATTTTCTCCAGTTTCTGTCACAGCTCTCTCAGCCCCACCTACCTCACAGGGTGTCTGTCGTGGGGAGGGGAGGGAAAGGAGTTTGTAGGACTCTCTGAGACTCCTTTGGATAGTGAAGGGTGGGGTATAAATCCAGTCTCTTCTTCTTCGTTGATGCACAGAAAAAGAGGGGAAGAGGATTCACAGAGGCTCTGCATTAGGGGCCACAGAGGGCACGGCCCTAGCAAGGGCCACGCCTCCTGGTTACCCAAAATCTCCAGGATATCGGGGTTAGCTCTGCTAACAACGAAGTAAATTTCCCCTTGATATCCTGGAGACTTTGTTTCTTTGTTCTGTTGCTAGCTGTAGGATATTGTTGTGCCCCATTTTATTCATTCATTCATTCATTCGTTCATTCATTCATTCATTCATTCATTCATTCATTCATTTGGGTTTTTTAGTCACCAGTTACCCAAACGGTCTTGTGGCACCATACAACATTAAAACGTAACTTAGGCAGATCATGAGAGGGAGGGCAGGGAGGTTTGCCTCAGTGCTTAGTTCTCGTGGCCCTTTCTTACGCGCCCAGGGAAATGCCGATCACCACGTTGGGGTCAGGAAGCCATTTTCCTCCAGGCCAGTCTGGCTGGAGATCTTGGAGGTTTTTTGTCATCTTCTGGGCGTGGAGCAGCGGTCACTGCGGGTGTGGAGGGGGAGGTATTTGTGAATTTCCTGCCTTGTGCAGGGGGTTGGACTAGATGACCCCGGAGGTCCCTTCCAACTCCATGATTCTCAGATTCTACTCTATGTAATAAGGGGCTTCAGTGTTCCATCTGCACCGGGGTCCCCTCAGGCAGGCCGTCCATTTCCAGTGATGCGGCCTATCATGTGGCCCCTGCAGCTGCCAGACGTGTTGCTTTCTGCCGTGTGCATCAGGTTCCCTTGTAACAGAGTCTTGGAGCCGTGTCTTTGGATCCGTAGAGCTGTGAATGATTCCCCGGTATCAAGATTCCCTCACCCGACCACTCTGCCAGTCCGTAGCTCACTGGCAAAGAACGCCCTTTGCATTCTGGAAGTCCCAAGCCAGGCATCTGTTCTCCAGCTATTTTTGGAAAAGGGGATCTCAGGGAGCAGAGCTGCAAAGAAAACCGCGCCAGGATCCCACCCACCAGCTGGGATTAAGCCGGACTGAGCTAGTCTGGCCAATGGCCTGATTCGGTATAAAGTAGCTGTGTATGGAAACTTTGCTGGGAGGCAAAATTGCTTGCCCTGGACACATTGTGCGGTTCCCGGTAGGGCAACTGGGGAAGCAAAGGGGAGGCATACTTTTTCTCCCTCCCTCCCGTCTATTTGCGCGCTCTCTCTGTCTCTCTCTCTCTCTGTCTCTCTCTCTCTCTGTCTCTCTCTCTCTCTGTCTCTCTCTGTGTCTCTCTCTCTTTCTTTCCATCTCTTTCATGCTTTCTTTCCACCTCTCTCTTTTTTAGACAAATAAGTACCATTAGCAAATAAATAAATATCATTGGACAAATAAGTGTCATTATCAATATCTGTTTTTACCTCTTTTGTTTTTGTTTTTGGCAGTCACATTTAATGTTAATAAAAAAAGCAAATCTGCATGTTTTAAATTAAAATGTGCATGTGATATTTGTTAATGTCTTGCGGCTCTCAAACATCTGACATTTATTCTATGTGCTGAGGAAGTTTGGCCACCCCTGCCCTAGACACATCGGCCTTAACTTCCCAGGATCCCCCGAAAAAAAGGGGAGCCAACTGTTGAGAGATCCAAATGGCTGCTTCCAAAATAAATATATCCCTTTGCAGCTGTTTCTCAATTTTCGGATCTCTGCACGTACCTTCTGTCTCCTCTCTCTCAAACCGCTTCCTTAGCCCGCTTAAATGCTCCAGATCCCTATTCCAAGCCCTGTGTGTGCCTTCTTGGCTGTCTGCCTTCTTGCGTGCCTTGGCATTCGCCAGTCTTTCTGAAATATACAGGGTTCGAGACGCGTATAGTGATCAGCTCATAGTTAGTGATTTCGGCTCAACTCTAAAGACTGACAAACTGGCCTTGCAGCCCTGTTTATAAAGCCTGCAGAGACCACGCCCCAGCACACCCCACCACCACCGATAGGCTATTGACATTACAACTACTATTCTATAGGTCCATTCCAGGATCCTGGCGATCTATTGTTCTGGTGGAACAAGCTTAGCCAGTTTCCAGGTACTGTTCAGGCTCAGTGCATAACACTTTCTTTGCCTCCAGCCTGGCTCCGATTCTGTCTTGCTCTTGGTGCTGTCCCATCTGGCCGCTCTGTCCCCCACTGGACCCTGACAGATGTGTATTGACGCGGCATGCTATTTATACCGGCGTTCAGCAAGCAGCCCCTGGCCAAAATGACTTTGTTCTGTCTCCGATGCCTTTCAGAGGAATCTGACGTCCTAAAGAGTGATTACCGACTCAGAAGCGAAGAGATGGAGACGACCGTGAGCAAGCTGAGAGTGCAACTCAAATCTGCCCATATGGAGCTGGAGCAAACCAGAGCCACCTTAAAGACCATGGAAGGGTCCGACGGCCACGGTAATCCCGGAAGCATTATTTGCGTGGAGGCCGATTTTGTTTGCAAGAGGAGAACGTATGTACTGGTTGTGGAGGTTTTTTTTACGTAGGTTTTTTTTAAATTCTGATTTTCTCATGGGAAAATACCCTGGATAACCCTGAATTAGACCTGCATCTTTCATATAAAGCCATAATGTTGCTGGTACTGAAACGCCATAGTAAGGGATAGTCAACATAAGTGGTTCCAAATAAGCTATTGGTGCCTACCAAAGCTCCCTCTAAGTCTGGGAGTCTTGTGAGCAAATATTCTACTTTGTGAGCTACTGGCATTAAAGTTGTGAGCGAGCAATTTGAATACTGCATAAATTAGTTTGCTCTGGAGCCATCCTGCCTGAGCTGAGACAAAGATGTGTGAGCCGGAGGCTAAAAAACTGTGAGCTAGCTCACACTAACTCAGCTTAGAGGGAACACCAGCCTACCTAGGCTAGAAATTTAAACAGGTTTAAGTAGGGATGCCAGCCTCCAGGTGGGACCTAAGGATTTCCTGGAATTGCAGTCCATCTCCCGACTACAGGTATCAGTTGCCCTGCAGGAAATGGATGTGACTTTGGGGCAAGTCACAAGTACTTTCAGCACTGTTCCCTCAAGAAGAAGAAGAGACTGGATTTATACCCCGCCCTTCACTACCCGAAGGAGTCTCAGGGCGGCTTAGAATCCCTTTCGCCTTCCCCTCCCCACAACAGTCCCCACCACAGACACCCTGTGAGGTAAAAGAAGAAGAAGAGGAGATTGGATTTATACCCCGCCCTTCACTACCCGAAGGAGTCTCAGAGCGGCTTAGAATCCCTTTCCCTTCCCCTCCCCACAACAGACACTCTGTGAGGTAGGTGGGGCTGAGAGAGCTCTCTCAAGAACTGCCCCCGAGAGAACAGCTCTGAAAGAACTTGAAACTTGTGGGGAAGGTAAAGGAGATTGTAAGCCGCTCTGAGACTCCAAGTGAAGGTTGGGGTATAAATCCAATCTCTTCTTCTGTTTCCTGGCACTACATTTTAATAGGGTTTTGAGTGTGTGCGTGCGTGTTGAATTTTGAGTGTTTGAGTGACTTGCACAAGTTTTCGTTAAGACAGATCACACCTGGTCCCGGCATTGGCCTTATGGTAAGGCCCAGTCTGGCAAACAGTTTGCCACATTTTGTATAGAAGGATGAAACTGTATAAGATACGGGCATTTTAAGCAAAGTCCACGCCTGGAACGGCAAGTCCCGTTTCTTGTTTGCATCATTCCCGTTAGAAGAAGAAGAGAGAGAAGAGATTGGATTTATACCCCACCCTTCACTACCCAAAGGTGTCTCAGAGCGGCTTACAAACTCCTTTCCCTTCCCTTCCCCTCCCCACCACAGACACCCTGTGAGGTAGGTGGGGCTGAGAGAGCTCTGACAGAAACTGCTCTTTTTCAAGGACAGCTCTTATCAGAACTACGGCTTGCCCAAGGTCATCCAGCCAGGTGCAAGTGGAGGAGTGGGGAATCAAACCCGGTTCTCCCAGATTAGAGTCCGCGCACTTAACCACTACACCGAAGTTAGCTTAAGAACATAAGAGAGGCCAATGTTGGATCAGGCCAGTGGCCCATCCAGTCCAACACTCTGTGTCACACAGTGGCCAAAAATACCAGGTGCCATCAGGAGGTCCAGCAGTGGGGCCGGGACACTAGAAGCCCTCCCACTGTTGGCCCCCCCCCCCAAGCGCCAAGAATATTCTAATGCTGGAGAGACACATTTATCCCCTGATGCAAAACAGCTGCCCAAAGTCTCATCATTGGGAAGTGGAAACAAAACCCCACCTTGTACAATTAGGTCTCTCTGGTGTGTTAACTGCAGAGTTTCAGAGGGTAGCCAGGTTGGTCTGCCGTAGAACACCTGGATTTGATTCCAGTACGCTGTGGGAGACCAAGAAGGTTTTCAGAGTTCAAGAGTGATTTCCCACAAGCGCTGCTCCGCGCTCACTTTTTGCCCCGATGGTACGTGTCAATTTCACACAAGCTGCTGCGCGCCCACATTTTGCCCCGCAGCTTCGTGCGATTTCCCCCGCATCTACTCAGTCCTCAAAAAACAGGATTGAGTAGAGGCGGGGGAAATCGCACGAAGCTGCGGGGCAAAATGCAGTCGCACAGCAGCTTGTGTGAAATTGACACGTACCATCGGGCCAAAGAGAAGAGTGAGTGCGGAGCAGCGCTTGTGGGAAATCACCCCAAGGGTCAAAGCTCCCTTCATCTCTGGCAAAGGAAGCTTTGTCTCTTGAGAGCTTGTGCCGCGTAATTCTTGTTGGTCTCTTGAGGTGTCACTGGACTCAAGCCTACCTGTTACCTGCAGGTCTCTAGAGGTCTCACGACAAGCAAGTCGCCACTAATGCGTTGGGAACCGTGTCTTTTACAGCCATGAAAGTCGCAATGGGAATGCAGAAGCAAATCACAGCCAAGCGAGGACAGATAGACGCTTTGCAGAGCAAGATCAAGTTCCTGGAGGAAGCAATGACCAACGCGACTAAGGTCAGAATAGCAAAAACGCCTAACCGCGCTTGATTCCACATAGAGGTTTCGCTCTGGTTTGGCATCCAGACTGGAGTGGGGGGGGGGGCCGTTAGCATCCACACGGTGCCTTCCTCTAATTCAGGGATGTCAAACAGAAGGCCCGGGGGCCAGAACCGGCCCGTCCAGGACATTTATGTGACCCATGAGCAACTGGTGCAGGGGAGGGAACAGAAGACTGCTGGGGGAGGGGAGCGGGGGGGCCCCCACTCCAATTCTGGCTTCAGCACGGTGGAACAACCTCGTCTGCAGCAGCCGAGCAGCGTGGGAGCGTCTGCCCAGTGCTGCACTGCTGGCTCCCCAGTCCGCCTATGTGGGTTTTCCTCTGGACCCCTCCTCCCAGCCCTTGCAGTGAGGATACACCTACTCGGAGCTTACCAGCTGCTGTCCTTTATACAGTTTCTGTCTCCAGTACCTGGCATTACGTTTTATGGCACACGTGGCCCGGCCCGACAAAGTGACATTTATGTCAGATCCGGCCCTCGTAACAAATGAGTTTGACACCCCTGCTCTAATTGACCCCTATCCATGTGTGCCCCCGTCCCCCGTCCCCCCGCCTGGCTCAGTCTTTCCCAAAGCTGATTTGATACGATTGTTGGGGGAAAGGGGGGGGGGAGAGACCGCAGGTCAGAATTGTACGTTTTGCCGCAGGGAACTGGGTCCTCGCCCAGAGTTCTCTTTGGTCCAGGTCCTTTGCGAATTGCCTGCCGATTCACGTTCTGCGCCTTCTGCCTTTGTCCGTGCAGGAGAAGCACTACCTGAAAGAAGAGAGGAACAAGCTGAGTCAGGAGCTGAGCCATCGGGCCGCTTTGAACAACAAAATGATGGGGGAGCTGGAGATTCTGCGGGCCCAAGACAAACGCATGAAAGAGAAACTGGCCACCATGGAGGCAGCCCTCGATAAGGTACTCTTTCTGTCCGTCTTTCAGTTTCTTTCCAGGGCCTGGCCTTACCCTCAGACAGGTAGTTTCCAAAGGGAAAGGGCTTGTTGTTGTTGTTGTTCAGTCGCACAGTCGAGTCCGACTCTTCACGACCTCATGGACAAGATCTCGCCAGGCCTTCCTGTCTTCTGCCGTCCTCTGAAGTTTGCTCAATTTCATGTTTGTTGCATCTATGACACTGTCTAACCATCTCATCCTTTGCCGTCCACGTCTTCTTTGACCTTCAATCTTTCCCAGCATCAGGGTCTTCTCCAGTGAGTGCTCCCTTCTCATTTGGTGGCCAAAGTATTTGAGCTTCAGTTTCATAATGGCAGAAAGTGAAGAGGACCTAAAGAGCCTCTTGCTTAGGGTAAAAGAGGAGAGTGCAAAAGTGGGCTTGAAGCTCAACTTCAAAAAAACTAAGATCATGGCATCCGGCCCCATCACCCCTTGGCAAGTAGAAGGGGATGTCGTGGAAGTAGTGACAGACTTCATGTTCCTGGGATCCCAGATCACCGCAGACTGTGACAGCAGCCATGAAATTAAAAGGCGCCTGCTCCTTGGGAGGAAAGCGATGGCGAACCTAAACAGCATGATAAAAAGTAGAGACATCACCCTGCCAACAAAAGTCCGTATGGTCAAAGCAATGGTATTCCCAGTAGTACTGTATGGCTGCGAGAGTTGGACCATAAGGAAGACTGAGCGCCAAAGAATAGATGCTTTCGAATTGTGGTGCTGGAGAAGACTCTTGAGAGTCCCTTGGACTGCAAGAAGATCAAATCAGTCAATCCTAAAAGAAATCAACCCTGACTGTTCCCTGGAAGGCCAGATAATGAAAGGGCTTGAGTGGTTTTTAAAAATCGCTAAATCCCCAGTGCACCCGCCCCCCACATGTGGGACTCTTCTTGGGCAGACAAACCTGCAGGGTGGATGCTCTGTTGCTGCGGTTTATCTGCGGCCACACCAGCAATGGGATTTCCACATTGTAGGTTTGCCTCAATCCTCTAGCGGTGTCCTGTCTTTGGGGAGGTGGGGGGGGGGTGGCACTGGGGATTTTGCAATTCCTTTTTAAAAACCAGCACTAGAATATTCAATACACCGGTGTAACAATAGGGGTGTGTGTGTGACCGGTTTGTTGAATCCTCATCTTTCATTTAAAAAAGTAATTCTCTAGTCCACCTCCTTCAGTTGCAAATATGTGCCTTTCCCCTTACATCTCCACGTGGGAAGGAAATAGAGACTTACCTTTTTTAAACAAACAAAATGCAGGTTTTGATCCTGAGAACACTGCCCGGCCGTAAGCCCCACTGGATAAAATGGGACATACTTCTGAGTAAAGGCCTGCAAAGGATCGCTGTCACAGTATGGAAGATTTGCTAGCAAAATTCTAGACGCAAACGTAACTCTGCCATCCAAGATGGAATCTCATTCGCCACTGTGAAAGGTCGTGTTTGGGGGATATCTGGTTACTCTTGCAGAGTTTTGCCCAGTCACAGAAGTGTGGTATTGAGTGCAGTCAATAAATCTCCCAAGAAGTATATTGCAAAAAAGGGTAAACTTACATTTATTCAGTTAGATCCAGTTCACATTCAGGTTGCAGTCAAAAGAAGAGAAAGACGCCTAATCTAAAGAGTTCTGTCCCTATCACAGATGGCCAGCGAAATCCAGCATTGCATATTTGGAAGTATGAGGTCATTGTTCCTACAGGAGAGACATGTTGTCTCCATGGAAGGCCATGTAGAGGAAGGGAGAGGATAAAGAAGGGAGAGGAGGGGGCAGCTCCCTGGTTAAGACAAAGAGAGGCACCCCATTCAGGGAGATATATGATATCTCCCCCCCCCCCCAATGTCCAGGCATGCTGAGTTGCTCACTCCGATACTCGTTCACTTGATAGTTATACCCTAAACAACTCAGATGCTGCACAGATCACAGCAGATTTTATTTTTCAGTAAGTAAAAAAGGTAAAGGTTCCCTTGCTCGAAAGCCAGTTGAATCCGACTCTAGGGATGCGGTGCTGATCTCTGTTTCCAAGCCGAAGAGCCAGCGCTGTCCGAAGACGTTTCCGTGGTCATGTGGCCGGCATGGCTAAACACCAAGGGGCACGGAACGCTGTTACCTTCCCACCGAAGTGGTACCTATTTATCTACTTGCAATGTCTTGCTTTCGAACTGCTAGGTAAGAGTCCATCACTATTTGTTGGTTTAAAGCATGTATGAGCCTCTGAAAAGGCCCTCTCTCAGGTACCCACCAGACGAGCTTCTCAGTTCCGTGGGACAGTCATGAGGACCTCTCGCTGTGATTTTAATTCCCAGGCAGGAACGTATGGGAGAAGGCTGTCCTTCAATTACCCCAGTCCCTAGCCAGGTCAAGCTTGTATGGTCGAAAGCAACCGCTTGAATTGGTCTCGGGAGCAGATTAGAAACCAGTGTCGTTGCTGTGAGATTGGGGTCACATGATCCGGGAACTGGCGCCAACCAGCAGTCCAGCTGCAGCCTTCTACACTAGTTGCAGCCTCTGAACACTCTTCCAGGGTAGCCCCAAGCATTGCAGTAGTCCAGCCTAGATGTAAAGAAGGCAAAGATCACGGTGGCTTGATCAGACTGACCCAGGAACGGGTGGAGCTGGCACACCGGCCAAAGCTGGGCGAAAGCACTCTGGACCACAGAAGCCATCTGATTTTCAAAGGTGACTGTTGTATCTAGCAGTGGCCCTGGCAGTTCAAGGGGATTACAACACCATCCAAGACAGGGGGAGATCTTGAGTCCCTGGTCTGCCTTCCTGCTAACCCAGAGCATCCCTGTCTTGTCAGAATTAAGTTTCGTGGGTTTCCCGAAAGTCCATAGGTTTCCCATCAGCTTCCTCTCCTTTTACTGTGACTCTCTCCAACTCTCCAAAATATCGCTGCTGCAACTTAACCCCGTTGTAAAGGTTACATCTTCTCCACTATCCTCCCTTGCAGGCATCTATGCAGTTTGCAGAATATCAATGCATCAAGCAGCGGCAGGAGCAGGAACTGATGCGCTGCAAACTTCAGCACGCTTTGGATGTAAAGGTAGGTCTTCTGCTTCACCGCAGAGCGCTAGGAGCCCCAAGAGATGCCATCATGCCTGGACCTCGGGGCAGAGGTCTGGGCTTCCCCTCCCTTTCTTCTCCACCATCCGGCCCACCATCCGGCCCAAGGTGTCTCCGCGCCCTAGGCGAGGCCAGCTTGTGGCGCCCGCGACCCCCAGGCGATGCCAGCCTCCCGGTGGGGCCTAAAAATGGGGGGGGGGCGCCATCGCCTCAAAGAACGAACCTCGGGAGGCTCACCGGGGGGGGGGGTGCTCTGGAAAATGGCCGCCGTCCCTGGGCTCACCATCTGCGAAAAGAGTCTGAGGTTGGCGTAGGGCAAGAAGGCGCTGTAGTTGGAGGGGCCACTGGCTGGATCCAACAGGGCTTTCTCAGGAAAGAGTTTTTTTTTTAGAGCGCGGAGCAGGGGGGGGGGGGGGGGGGACCTGCTTCGGTGAAATCCTCCCTGCGCCATGGGGGAAGTCCTCATGGGGGGGATCTCCCGGGCTCCCTCCCGCTGCGGGCTGGGGGCAGCGAGGTGGGAAAGGGAGAGGAAGGCCAGGTGCAGAGCCGCTGCCACTGCTTTCGCTGCTGGGCAGAGCCGGGGCGGTGGGATGGCGCTGCAGGACGTGTGTGGGCTGGCCGGGGGGGACTGGGGCGCTCCCGGGGCCGGAGGGGCTTCTTGGGCCTCCACCGCAGTGGAGCCGGGTGGCCTGGCACATTACACCTTTGGGGCGCATCGCTGTGGCCTGCAATGTTGAGGCAGGAGAGTGCCCCTGAGCATGGGCAGAGCTCTTTCCCAGACTTCCGGGGAAGTCGTTGCCACCTCCTGGGTGGGAATTCCTGGAGAGGGCGTGGTGGGAGGGAAGCACAGTTTGGCGCCAGCTGCGGGAAGGACATCCCGGGCGCGGGGCGGTGGGGCGGGGGGCGGTGGGGCGCAGAGGAGGTGACTCCGACGGGGCAAGCCTGAGCAGACGTCCGCCGGAGCCGGGGGGAGAGCGCAGCTCTCTGGCCTTCCTCCTCCTCCTTTGCCGTCTCCTTCTCCGCCACCAGCGGCCTGCAGGAGAGCCACCGGTGGCTGTCCCAACGGCGATGGCGGGGAGGGGGGGAGGCACAGTTCGGCACCAGCGTCCTGCAGGAGAACACTTTGGTGCCCTAAGGGCTGGCTAGCGCTCTAGGCGAATACCTAGTTCGCCTAGCGGGTGAGCCGGCCCTGGCCCTGAGTCACAGGCTGTGGAAGGGGGGACCCCAACATGGTGCCCATGGGTGCCGAGGCACCCATCAACAACTTTCCTGATGCCCACCAAGTGATTTTAGAACATGGGTGGGGCCATGTGGGGCTCTTGCCCAGCATGGCTTCTGATTGGCTGGTCAGAAGGAATTAATGTTGTTGCGGCTGCAGCCGCTGCCACAGTGTTGGTTTTATTCTTTCCCACGCCTCTTTCTAAGTGTATTTTTTTAAGATTGCCTCTCTTCTTCACTGCACATGGGCTTCCTATGTGTGCTTGGCTCCGCCTCCTGTGACAGCCATTTTGTAGTTGTGCCCACCACTCTGTGCCCACCACTCCAGTGGTGCCTGCAGGCTCAAAAAGGTTGGGACCCCTGCATTACTGTCTAAGATGGAAGAGGCATAAGGCCATTAAGGCCAGTTTCTAAAATTACCTAACTGTACCAATGGGAATCGAGAGAAGGCAGCATGGTGTAGCTCAGGGTGTCAAACATGTGGCCCGCGGGCTGGATCTGGCCCCCACAGGGCTCCTATCCGGCCCTCCTCTATCCTGCTTCCTTCTCCAGTTCTGCTACTGCTGCGTTGCAGCCTGCTTTGCCAGACTCTCTCAATCGCACAAGAAAGATAGATAGGCAAGCCTCTGCATTGGTTGAGGCTCCTCCCCTTCCTCCTTCCAGGGGGAGGGAGGGAGGGAACGAGCCAGAGCTGGCTTCCTGGCCAGGACTCTAATCTGGGAGAACCGGGGTTGATTCCCCACGCCTCCACGTGCAGCTGCTGGATGACCTTGGACAAGCCACAGTTCTGATAAGAGCTGTTCTTGGGGGAAAAAAGAGCAGTTTCTGTCAGAGCTCTTTCAGCCCCACCTGCCTCACAGGGTGTCTGTGGTGGGGAGGGGAAGGGAAAGGAGTTGCAAGCCGCTCTGAGACTCCTTCGGGTAGTGGAGGGCGGGGTATAAATCCAATCTCTTCTTCTTCTTTTCCCTCACAGGGTGTCTGTGGTGGGGAGGGGAAGGGAAAGGAGTTTGCAAGCCGCTCTGAGACTCCTTCGGGTAGTGGAGGGCGGGGTATAAATCCAATCTCTTCTTCTTCATCGTTGGCACAGCGGCGGGAAAGACTAATAGATAAGATAAATATGTAAATTATGCTTGATCGTCATTTCCTATTCTTATGTCTAAGGAGCTCAGGGTAACGGATACGTCCGTTCCTCCTGTTTTATCCCCACAGCACCTTTAGAAGTAACCCTCAGCAACTCTTGCATGCCAGTGATAGCAGTGATCCCAGCAAAACTATAATAATAATAATAATAATAATAATAATAATAATAATAATAATAATAATAATAATAATATACTTTATTGTCATTGTACATAGTACAACGAAATTAAAGATGCAATCATTTCGGTGATCTACAACAATGTTCATATACACTCACACAACCATTCACTACTGTCCCATAACTCCCTTAAGGTTCACATAACAACTTAAAACCACCAACGTCACCCAAATTCCAATTTCATACAGCATTTAAGGCAATAATAGCTCTCGAATAAAAACTATTTTTAAATCTATCTGTCCTTGCTTTAATTGTCCTATATCTTCTGCCCGAAGGCAGCAGTTCAAGCAGGGAATGTTCGGGACGTGACAAGTCCTGCAGAATGTTCTTTGCTTTTTTCAGACATCGAGAACTATACAATTCCTCCAGGGACAGGAGAGGGCAGCCAATGATCTTCTGTCTACAAGAAGTCATTGATACCATGTCTCCGTGGCTACCTTCCCTTCTGGATTTTTTAAATTATTATTGTTGTTGTTGTTATTTTGCTGGAACCTCAATTTTTAAAAACAAACAAACAAACATAGATCTTCTTCTTCTTCCCCCTCGGACTCACAAGTCTCTTCTTCCACAGGAGCTGCAGGGGCCCGGCTATAAGCTGGGCTTCTCTTCCGTGAAGCTGCGCCACTCGACCGTGCCTCACTCCCACCCGCCCAGTGCTCCGTCCTCCCAAGCCTTTGCCGGCCACATGAGCCACGTAGGTGTCTCTCCGGAGCCTGCCTTGGACCCAGCCCGGCCAGCGCAGGAGGGGGAGGGTTCTTGGGACAGCAAAATGCCCTACATGACGTATGCAAAGTGCCGTCAGGCTGTAGCTGGCTTGTGCGACCCCGTGGGGCTTTCAGAGCAAGAGACAAACCGAGGCGCCAGCATCCGCCTCTTCATGGCGACCCTGGGCTTCCCTGGGTGGTCTCCCATCCAAGTAGTAACCAGGGCCGACCAGTTTGGTGTAGTGGCTAGGAGCACAGACTCTAATCTGGGAGAACCGGGTTTGGTTCCCCACTCCTCCACATGCAGCTGTTGGTGTGACCTTGGGTCACTCACAAGTTCTCTCAGAGCTGTTCTCTCAGGAGCAGTTCTTGAAAGAGCTCTCTCGGCCCCACCTACCTCCCAGGGTGTCTGTTGTGTGGATGAGAAGAGACAGAAATTGCAAGCTGCTCTGAGACTCCTTTGGGTAGTGAAGGGTGGGGTATAAATCCAATCTCCTCCTCCTCCTCTTCCTCCTCCTCTTCTTCTTTTTCTTCTTCTTCTTCCTAAGTGTTCAAGACCTGATGAGATCAGGCCAGCCCGTTAGGCAGCTCATATTCTGAATTTAGCTGTCATGAGAGTATATATTATATTACTGGAATATGCGTACATGTGACCGACTCGACTCAAGGATTAAAAAGCCATTTTTAAAAAGCGATGCAGCCCTGTGAACACTTCTGCATTTGCGGAGCTGTCTTCCTTTCCTCCACAAGGCCCACGGGAGGGGCCGTGGCTCAGCGGTAGAGCCTCTGCTTGGCACGTAGGAAGTCCCAGGTTCTATCCCCCGGCATCTCCAGTTAAAAGGTTGGGGCAGGAGGTGATGTGAAAGACCTCCTCCAGAGACCCTGGAGAGCAGCTGCCAGTCTGAGTGGACTGGCCTTGAGGGACCAAGGGTCTGATTCAGTACAGGGCAGTGTCATGCGTATCCATGTGTGACCAGGGACTTAGCAGCCCTAGTAGAACTGTACGGTGCAGTTTTTATTAGATCACACAATTTTAGACTGCACAGTAGGGTGTATAATGGATAGATTCCCCCCATATACCCCCACCTTCCTGTCTCCCATCCAAGAGGCTCGTGGGAGAGGCCGTGGCTCAGCGGTAGAGCCTCTGCTTGGCGTACAGAAGGTCCCGAGTTCAATCCCCAGCATCTCCAGTTGAAAGGGCCAGGCAGCAGGGGATGTAGAAGACCTCCGCCTGAGACGGAGAGCTGCTGCCAGCCGGAGTAGACAATACTGACTTTGATAGACCGATGGTCTGATTCAGAGAAGAAGAAGAAGAAGAGATTGGATTTCTACCCCGCCCTCCACTACCCAAAGGGGTCTCAGAGTGGCTTACAAACTCCTTTCCCGTCCCCTCCCCACAACAGACACCTTGTGAGGTAAAAGAACAAGAAGAGATTGGATTTCTACCCCGCCCTCCACTACCCAAAGGGGTCTCAGAGTGGCTTACAAACTCCTTTCCCGTCCCCTCCCCACAACAGACACCTTGTGAGGTAAAAGAACAAGAAGAGATTGGATTTCTACCCCGCCCTCCACTACCCAAAGGGGTCTCAGAGTGGCTTACAAACTCCTTTCCCGTCCCCTCCCCACAACAGACACCTTGTGAGGTAAAAGAACAAGAAGAGATTGGATTTCTACCCCGCCCTCCACTACCCAAAGGGGTCTCAGAGTGGCTTACAAACTCCTTTCCCGTCCCCTCCCCACAACAGACACCTTGTGAGGTAAAAGAACAAGAAGAGATTGGATTTCTACCCCGCCCTCCACTACCCAAAGGGGTCTCAGAGTGGCTTACAAACTCCTTTCCCGTCCCCTCCCCACAACAGACACCTTGTGAGGTAAAAGAACAAGAAGAGATTGGATTTCTACCCCGCCCTCCACTACCCAAAGGGGTCTCAGAGTGGCTTACAAACTCCTTTCCCGTCCCCTCCCCACAACAGACACCTTGTGAGGTAAAAGAACAAGAAGAGATTGGATTTCTACCCCGCCCTCCACTACCCAAAGGGGTCTCAGAGTGGCTTACAAACTCCTTTCCCGTCCCCTCCCCACAACAGACACCTTGTGAGGTAAAAGAACAAGAAGAGATTGGATTTCTACCCCGCCCTCCACTACCCAAAGGGGTCTCAGAGTGGCTTACAAACTCCTTTCCCGTCCCCTCCCCACAACAGACACCCTGTGAGGCAGGTGGGGCTGAGAGAGCTCGCAAGGGAAAGGGGCTGTGGCTTACTGGCAGAGCCTCTGCTTGGTGTGCAGAAGGTCCCCGGTTCAATCCCCAGCATCTACAGTTAAGGATCAGGTGGTAGGTGATGGGAAGGGAGGTGATGGGAAAGACCTCTGCCGGAGACCCTGGAGAGCGGCTGCCAGTCTGAGTAGACGATCCTGATCTTTTCAGGATAAGTCAGCTTCATGTGTTCGTAAGCAAGAGTAATGCGTTTCCTTTAAACCTCAGCTTAATTCTTTTATGGGGGGGGGGGAGTCCAAAGCAGGAGTTCTTAGCATTCTTACCAATTGGTTCTGTCTCCTGATGCCATTCAGAAAATTCAATATGAAGCCAACCAATGCCGGGGGGGACGGGGACGGACAGATAATAACCCTCTTACTGAGGGAGGGGGTATTTTGAAGCAGTCGTGTGTTTGTTTAGTTTTGGAAAATCCCTGTTTCCATCCAGATCTCGTCCAAGCTCAGCTCGGCGAAGGAGGACCCCCTGTGCGACTTAAAGCAACTTCTGCAAGAACTGCGGAGCACGATTGATGAAATCCCCTCCGCGATGCTTCCCAGGAGAGAAAGCGACAGCGACAGCGACTCGCTGCTGGAAACAGCGAGCAATACTCTGTAAGGGGGGTGCAAAGTATTGGGGGGACACGTCTTAGTGTATGTAGCACATTTGCCCAGTCATAGGAGCCTGCTGTTGTGTGCAGTAAACAGACGGCAAGACCTGTGTGTTGCAAAAGGGTAAAGACTTCCATTCATTGAGGCAGATGCAGCTCCCATCCGTGTCACAGTTGAAAGGAGAGCGAGAAGGCTGGATCGAAAGGATACTCTTCCCTGTTGCAAATGGCTAGCTTAATCCAGCAGCAGTGGGAGGGCTTCTAATGTCCTGGCCCCACTGGTGGACCTCCGGATGGCACTGGTATTTGTGGCCACTGTGTGACACAGAGTGTTGGACTGGATGGGCCTTTGGCCTGATCCAACATTGGCATCTCTTATGTTCTTATGTTCACACGGCAGCCCTACCTGCAGAGCTGAGAGCAGCTGTTAATTCCAATCCATGACACGAGAGTAGTTTGTTTATTTATTTATCTTTAGATTTGTATCCCGCCCTACCCCGAAGGCTCAGGGCGGCTAACAAGGGCACAAAGTGCCAGGATTAAAACAATAAGAGCACATAATATAAAACAGTAAAATGCAGTAACAACATCACAGTGCTCCACTTGTCACAAGATGGGATAGATCTTAAACCCAACGGTAGCTTCCCCGAACTCTATCATCCTTTTCCTGCCAGGGGCACCTCTCACCCCCAAAGGGGCCAGATAGTCGTGGTGATGGTGCGACGGTGCATAGATGGCAATGATGGAGTAGTAGTGGCGGCGGCTCCTACTCAAAAGCCTGGCGGAAGAGCTCCGTCTTGCAGGCCCCGCGGAACTGAGAAAGGTCCCGCAGGGCCCGGATCTCCTCCGGGAGCTCCTTCCACCAGGTAGGAGCCGCCACCGAAAATGTCCTGGCTCTGGTCACCGCAAATTTAATATCCTTGGGGCCTGGAATTTCCAGGAGATGACGATTCCCCGACCGTAGTGCCCTTGGGGGAATATATGGAGAAAGGCGGTCCCTCAGGTAGGCTGGACCCTGGCCATAGAGGGCTTTAAAGGTAAGAACCAGCACTTTGAAGTGGATCCAGTATGCTATTGGCAGCCAGTACAGCGCTTTCAGCACAGGCTGAATGTGGTCCCTCCTCGAGAGACCCATCAACAACCTGGCTGCAGCATTCTGCACTAGCTGCAGCTTCCGGATTTGCGACAAAGGCAGCCCCATGTAGAGAGCGTTACAGTAGTCTAGCCTTGAGGTAACCGTCGCATGGATCACCATGGCTAGGTCCTCACGGCTAAGGTAGGGGACCAACTGCCGAGCCAGCCGAAGATGATAAAAGGCCGCCCTGGCAGTGGCTGCCACCTGGGCCTCCATCGTTAAAGAGGAGTCCAGGCGCACACCCAAACTCCTAACCTCCGATGCTGGCACCAAAGGCACCCCATCAAAGGTCAGGAGACGGAGCCCCAACCCTGAGCCGATCCGACTCAGGCCCAGGACCTCCGTCTTTGCCGGGTTTAGCTTCAACCGGCTCAGTTTGAGCCACCCAGCCACAGCCTGTAACGCCCGATGCAGGTCATCCGGGGCAGAGTCCGACTGGCCACCCAGCATCAGAGAGAGCTGGGTGTCATCCGCATATTGATGGCACCCAAGCCCACAACTCCGGGCAATCTGAGCAAGGGGGCGCATGTAGATGTTAAACAACATCAGGGACAGCACAGCCCCCTGAGGCACCCCACACTCCAGGGGATGTCTCTGGGACTGCTGGTCCCCTATCGCCACCCTTTGTCCCGACCTTGGAGAAAAGAGGCGAACCATTGAAGGGCAAGCCCCTGAATCCCCGTGTCGGCGAGGCGGTGGGCCAGCAGCTGGTGGTGGACCGTGTCGAACGCGGCCGACAGATCTAACAACACCAGTGCTGCCACACCACCCCGATCCAGATGCCTACGGAGGTCGTCAGTCAGGGCGACCAACACCGTCTCCATCCCATGACCCGGGCGAAAGCCGGACTGGTAGGGATCGAGGACAAAAGCATCCTCCAGAAAGCTCTGTAGCTGTAACGCCACCGCCCTCTCAATGAGTTTGCCCAAATAGGGCAAATTAGACAGAAGAAGAAGAAGAAGAGAAGAGATTGGATTTATACCCCGCCCTTCACTTGGAGTCTCAGAGCGGCTTACAAACTCCTTTCCCTCCTCCTCCCCACGACAGACACCCTGTGAGGCAGGTGGGGCTGAGGGAGCTCTGACACAAACTGCTCTTTTTCAAGGACAGCTGTGCCAGAGCTTGTGACTGACCTAAGGTCACATCAGCAGGTGCAGGTGGAGGAGTGGGGAATCAAACCTGGTTCTCCCAGATTAGAGACCGCACACTTAACCACTACACCAAACTGGCTCTCCAGACACCAAACTGGCTCTCCAGACACCGGCGGATAGTTAGCCAATTCGGTCGGGTCTAAAGATGGGATGAGGGATACCCTTCTGGGTAGCAGTGTGTGTGAACGAGATCTTGGGGTGAGGGTGGACCGAAAGTTCAATATGAGCAGCCAGTGTGATGCAGCGACAAAAAAGGCTAATGCGATCTTGGGGTGTATCAACAGAGGCATAACAGCCAAAGCGTAAGACGTCATAGTCCCGCCGTACACTGCATTGGTACGGCTGCACCTGGAGTACCGTGTGCAGTTCTGGAGACCTCACTTCAGAAAGGATGTGGACAGAATGGAGTGGGTGCAAGAGGAGAGCGACGAGGGTGATCGAGGGGCTTTGAGGAAAGGCTGAGGGACTTGGGAACGTTCAGTCTGGAGAAGAGGAGGTTGAGGGGGGGACAGGATCGCTCTCTGGAAGTATTTGAAGGGCTGTCGCTTAGAGGAGGGCAGGGAGCTGTTCCTGTTGGCAGCAGAGGAGAGGACTCGCCATCATGCGTTTAAATTAAGGGCAGGAAGGTACCAGCTGGACAGTAGGAAAAACCTTTTTACAGTCAGAGTTGTGCCACAGTGGAATCAGCTGCCTCGGGAGATGGTGAGCTCCCCCTCCCAGTTAGTCTTTAAGCAGCAGCTGGACAAACCCTTGTCAGGGATGTTCTAGAGGCTGATCCTGCATTGAGCGGGGGGGTCGGACTAGACGGCCTGTAGGGCCCCTTCCAGCTCTGCGATTCTATGATTTGACAACCAGCACCACTCAAAATTCCTGAGTGTGTTATGATATAGTTAGGCACCTTTCTAGGTAAAAACTGGGCAACCCTTTCCTTTTAAAACCTGTTTTCAAATGATTCCTTGTAAAACTCCATTGCTTTTTGTAGTGGGCCCAGCTAGGAATGTTAACCTATGGCATGATTATTTGCTCTTTTTCCCCCCCACTCAGAGACCTCGCCAGCAAAGAATGTATAGGCAAAAGACCACACGACTCTTACAGCAGGTGAGAAGAACGCTGCCGGGCACTGTAAATTCTTTTTTTTTGGACAGCATTCCGGGATGTAGCTGGGTTTGAAGGCAATGAGATGTCTCGTTCACCACTTCTAGTACTGTGTGCACAAGATGGCCCCGGGCTAGCTTGATCTCATCAGGTCTCCGAAGCTAAGCAGGATCAGCCCTGGTTGGTACTTGGATGGGAGACCAGCAGGAAAGGTCCGGGGCTGCAACCACCGCTGAATGTCTCTTACCTTGAAAACCCTGCGGGGTTTCTGTTAAATAGTGGGTTCCATGGATGAGCAGACCCCCAAGTCTAGTGATCAGCTCTCCTGTTTAAACAGCATGCAATTGCCACGCCCAGACACACCCCACTCCCAACGATAGGCTATTTACATAACGTCACTTCTTGACTGGTTACTACCAGAGTCCCGGTGGGCTATTGCTCCAGGGCTCCAAGCCCAGCCCGTCTCTAGTAGAAACAGTCCTGGGATGTTTCAGTCCCAAGACATAACACCTGCCATAAGTCAGCTGCTGCAGTTTGACGGCATTTTCCACCACGATTTCACGGTCACCCACTCAAACTGCTGTTCCAATCTTGGCCAACAGGTGGTGCATGTGTAGTTCGCTCCAGCTGATAGAATCCTAGAATCACAGGGTTGGAAGGGGCCATACAGGTAACCTAGTGAGTCCAACCTCCTGCTCAATGCAGGATCAGCCTAGAGCAGTGATGGCAAACCTTTTAGAGACCGAGTGCCCAAACTGTGACCCCAAACCCACTTATTTATGGCAAAGGGCCAACACGGCAATTTAACCTGAATACTGAGGTTTTATGTTAGAAAAAACAACTCCTACATTAACTTAAGATGATCCAAACAAAGTAAAGAAAGCAATCCCAAATGCTTTCATTTATTTAAAATTATTTGGCAGAGAATTCGACACTTTAATGATGGTCTGGGCCTGGCTGGGGCGATGGCACGCGTGCCCACAGAGAGGGCTCTGAGTGCCACCTCTGGCACCTGTGCCATAGGTTCGCCACCACTGGCCTAGAGCATCCCTGACAAGTTTTTGTCCAGCCGGTGCTTAAAGACTGCCAGTGTGGGGGCGCTCACCACCTCCCTAGGCAGCTGAGTCCACTGCTGAACAACTCTGACGGTCAAAAAGTTTTCCCTAAGATCCAGCCAGTGCCTTCTCCCCCACAATTCCCGTCTCTGTGTCTAATTATAAGAGAAAGCTTGCAGTAACTTGAGTAACTGAGGGCCCAAAGTACACAGTATTTTTTAAATAAGGTCCAGGTTCCCAGACCCAACTGGCTTTTCCCACAGCCACGCCGTAGCTGCAGGGAACTGCGCCTGTAGGGGCCCGGTTCTGCTCCAGACCTCAGCACTGGGGAGGGGGGGCAGTCAGAGGGGCTCCTGCTTCCCCCTGTGCCTTTTTCCTGAGCTGAAACAGCCCCACCAGGGACTTGTTTGCATAAACTGGGAGCTGCACGTGGAGCATTCTGTGCTTCAAAACGCACAGCTCCCAAAATTTTTTCCCCCCTCTTCAAAGTTTTATTTAATTAAAACAATATAAACATGCATACTGAAATATATATTATATTGTGTTTTCAATCAATTTCAACTCAGTATCTGTATATTGCACATAACTAGCCTTGTACTCAGTCTAATCTACTTTTCACTTCTAAAACTTATGTGATAAGAGCTCAGCCTAAACACCTGTAAATCAAAAATGTATCAATTCCAGATAGTTACGGTTTGAGGGTAGTAGATCATTTCCCACGAAATACGTGATCAAAGGGAACTACCTGCCCACAAATTTGGTATGAGATCCTGTATGACTACTCACAGCTCCAAAGTTAAGCAAATAACTCTCCAGCTGGGCCATTTCAGCTCAGAAAACGGTGCCGGTGGTGGTGGTGGTGGGAGAGGCAGCAGCCTCTTCTCCCCCCCCCCAAAGTATCCTATGGTGTGGTTTGGCCCTGATAGTGCAGTCTTATGCAGAGTTTCTCCAGTCTGCACCCACTGGGCATGGATCAGGCATAGGCAGGATAAACTCTCTGTAGGATTCGCACCTGTGACTCATTTATGGAAGCTCTGCCTGCACAGGCGCAAAGCAGCACATTGTCTCCACCAGTGCTCCCTTGTCAGTGTAATAATGGAAAGATGCTTCCTTGTGCACTGGATGAGGTCCCTGACCGGCAGGGCTGTGAGCCGGAAAATTCTGGGTGGTGGGGCATTGGGGAAATCTGGGAGGGCGGGGAGCGGGAGATAGAGATTCTGGGAGGGCGGGGAGCGGGAGATAGAGATTCTGGGAGGGCTGGGAGCGGGAGATAGAGATTCTGGGAGGGCGGGGAGCGGGAGATAGAGATTCCGGAGGGCTGCAGAAGCAGGAAGGAGACCTCCCCCCACACCTCTCAGACTGTCGGAGAAACGCGGGCTCGTTGGGCATTCTTCCTGTTTTTGCAGCAGAAGCAGAAAGACCCAGCAAACCCGTGCCTATCGGACCATTGGAGAGGTGCGGCAGCTCATGTGGGCTCCGGAGGGAGGGGGAGGGGGACCGGGAAGGATGGGAAAGGGCTAATTTCGTAGGGGGGGGCATCGCCCCGAAATGCCCTGTCATGGGGACGGGCCTGCTGACAGGGTAGAACTCTGTGAACGCCCACAGATGGCACCTTCACCAGGCATTTGTCTCAGGAAATGGAAACATCCAGTCCGCCCCCCCCCCCCAAAAAAAACGTGGAAGAGAGGGTTCATTGCAGAGGGCCTCTGGGGTGTCCACCCATTTTGCACAGAGTGGGTCGCTGCCCAGAGCCATGCAGTTGAGTGCCGCTGCTGCTTGAAAGGACAGTCCTCGAGAGAGCTCTCTCAGCCCCGCCTACCTTACAGGGTGTCTGTGGTGGGGAGGGGAAGGGAAAGGAGTTTGTGAGCCGCTCTGAGACTCCGAGTAAAGGGCGGGGTATAAATCCAATCTCCTCCTCCGCCTCCTCTTCTTCTTCTTCTTTTTCTCCTTCTTCTCCTCTTCTTCTTTATCTCCTTCTTTTCTTCCTCTTCTTCTCCTCCTCCTCTTCTTCCTCTTCTTATGTCTTCTCCTTATTCTCCTCCTTCTCCTCCTCTCCTCCTCCTCTTCTTCTTCTTCTCTCTACCCCCACCCCCGTTAGTCTTCTTTGTGTGTTAAGTTCCCTGGGCCAGTTTCCCTGACAGCTGTAATGGCACTCTGCATTTCCACACAGGGAGGTCCCAAGAAGAGATCTATCTACCGATGTCTCCGTAGGACAAGATCCTTTCAGCAGGTGAGGAGCGATGCCTTTTGGGCACAGTCCCTGGACTTTGTGAGTTTGTCCCTGCTTTTTAATATAACACACACGGTTTTAGGAAGGAAAAATATTTCCCAGAAAGAATAAAATAAGATTATTTGGGGGGGGGGGCTGTGCCTGGCCCCCTCACTTTTGCACGTCAGCACGGAGTGGAAGACAGTTTTGCCTAGAACGGCCTTTGCCTAATTTAGTCTTCATGTATTGGCAGTCCTAATCAGTGCTCCCTCCAAGCTGTGGAGTCTTGAGAGCAAAAATTCTACAGTGTGAGCGACTGGCATTGAAGTTGTGAGCGAGCAATTTGGCTACCGCAGAAATCAGTTTGCTCTGGAGCCCTCCTTCCTGAGCCAGGGCAAAAATGTGTGAGCCGGAGGCTAAGAAACTGTGAGCTGGCTCACACTAACTCAGCTGAGAGGGAACACTGGTCCTAATTGAGATTTTTAATTGTGGCCTTTAAGTGTTTTCCTTATAATCGTTTTATTTTCACTGTAAGCCACCTGGAGTTCTGCAAGGCAGAAGGGCGGCTAGTAAATGTTTTAAAGAAAAATAAACCAGATCGCTCACTACAGGGAAAGCAGAAGCCACAGGGATCTTTTCCCTTTTGTGAAATGTATACAGAATCATAGAATCGCAGAGCTGGAAGGGGCCCTACAGGCCATCTAGTCCAACCATCTGCTCAGTGCAGGACCAGCCTAGAGCAGTGGTGGTGAACCTGTGGCACGGGGGCTAGAGGTGGCACTCAGAGCCCTCTCTGCGGGCACGCGTGCCATTGCCCAAGCCAGGCCTAGACATTCATTAAATTGTCGAATTCTCTGCCAAATAATTTTAAGTAAATGAAAGCATTTGGGATTGCTTTCCTTACTTTGTTTGGATCATCTTAAGTTAATGTATGAGTTGTTTTTTCTAAAGTAAAACCTCAGTATTCAGGTTAAATTGCCGTGTTGGCACTTTGCGATAAATAAGTGGGTTTTGGGTCGCAGTTTGGGCACTCGGTCTCTAAAAGGTTCGCCATCACTGGCCTAGAGCATCCCTGACAAGGGTTTGTCCAGCCGGTGCTTAAAGACTGCCAGTGTGGAGGCGCTCACCACCTCCCTAGGCAGCTGATTCCACTGCTGAACAACTCTGACTGTAAAAAAGTTTTTCCTAAGATCCAGCCAGTACCTTCTCCCCCCACAATTCCCATCTCTGTGTCTAATTGTAAGAGAAAGCTTGCAGTAAGTTTGCTCTCCAGGCCTTCCCTCTGTAGCCATGGCTGTAGTGGGCATGACCAACTCTGAAGCCAGCCGGAACTCCGTTCCTGTGCGTTCCTGCCCAAAAATAGCCCTGCTGAGACTTACTAGTGATTTCAGCTCTCATACTTTATTAGGTGAAGAACAAGACAAAGTTACTGGCTCGCAGGCCGGCTTATATGTGCAACAATCCCCACACCCAAACACCCCCCCACACCAGGCTATTAACAGTGGCCGAGTTCCATAGGCTCTCGGCCGGGAGCCTAACCCTCCGATTGGCGTGGGCTAGGATCCGCTTGGCCCATTGTCTCAGGGAGCGAAGCTCGGGCACTTTGCATGACCGCATGGAGACGTAGCCTCGCACACGGTCGGAGATGAATACATTACAGGAGCAAAATTCATGGAGCGGGACTTTCCTGCTTCCGGCAGCAGCCCGGTGGGACGTTTCAGGATTCTGCTCCCAGGAGTTCACAGGACTCCACACACAGACTGTCAAAGTGGGAGTCTGCACTGGGAGGGGGGAATCAGCAAAAATCGGATGCGGGCCCCCACCACCAACAGAATGCTGATCTGGGTCACTGAAATGCCATTACGCCGGCAAGACACCTGCAATGGAGCGTCTAAGTTTCCCTGTACTTTAGTGGATTCAGCTCTCTGTGGATGCTGTTCACCCACCTGCCACCAGAGGGCGATCTTGTTAGGAGTTTAAGAAATGGTAATAAGTGTATTGCTATAGCGCTAATACAAATCTCTTCTGACAATGTACTATTTTACAGATTTCATTTAAATAATAAGTCTTTTGCCCCTTTTCATTGCTGGATTATAAAGAGAAAGTAACACAACAAAAGGGGTAGGAGACTTATCATGGAATCCCAGAGTTGGAAGGGGCCATACAGACCATCTAGTCCAACCCCCTGCCCAATGCAGGACCAGCCTAAAGCATCTCTGGCAAATATTCGTCCAGCCTCTTCTTGAAAGCGGTCAGTGAAGTGGAGCTAACCACCTCCCTAGGCAGCTGATTCCACCTTTGAACCACTCTGACTGTGAAAAAGTT